TGGCCCCGCCCCTCAACAACTGTACAGGCCACTCTGAGAACCGGGACAACCACCACAACTCCTCTCATGCTTTACTAAACGGAGGGCAGTGTGGATGAAGTTCCCCTCCAAAGTTCCCATTTTCTAGGTCTTTTGTGGATTTACTGCTATCATGGAGGTATTTTTTTTTCTCATTCTCAGTTTTTTTTATTATTTATTTTTTATTTTATTTTATTTTCCAGTTTAAATTTAGATAAGAAACAAGGTTGCTTCACAAGTCAGTTCCAGGTCCCTCTCCTTTTCCCTCCCCTCCCCCCAAGCCCCCCCATTATCCCCTCATTCCCCCAGGGAGGGTGAGGCCCTCCCTGGAGGTGTCCATAGTCTGTCATTTCATATAGGGCAGGGCCTAGACCCTTCCCCAAGAGTTCAGGGTGAGAGTGCACCTCACATTGTTCTTCATGGAGGTATTTTAACTCTTATTTCCAATATACCCTTTCCTGGAGATGTGGGGAAAGGGAGGGCTAGTTCCCAGTTGCGCTGTTTGTCCAAATAAGGATCCATTTCAATGAAAATATCTCATGAACTCACAAGTTCTGGAGGCTACTACTGGGCCTTGGGACTCAAATGGGGGTGGGGGTGGGGATATGGCTTGTATTTCAACTTGAAAGTTGGCCTAGGCTCTTTCTTATGGTCAATTGCCCTCTTACCCACTCCCTCAAGGCAGACCCTTGGCATGGAGTGGGCAGGACTGTCCCTCACCTGTCCTTGAGGATTTCTATGCTCGTATTTATCTGGATGGCAGTGGCAGAGAAGAGAAGGATGGGCCACGCACTTTAACAACCACAGTAGGTCACACAAATGTAGCGGCAGCTCCCAGACAGTCACAGGCTGGATGGTCACCTCCACACCAGAAACCACACTGTCCAAAAAATCAAAATCCTACAAAGTGCCGGATGTATTTAATTCCAGTACTCAAGAGGCAGAACAGGTGGATCTCTAGATTTCAAGGCCGGCCTGGTCTATAGAGCAATTCCAGGACAGCAGAAGGCTTACACAGAGAAACCCAGTCTCAAAAACCATCCATCCATCCATCCATCCATCCATCCATCCATCCATCCATCCAAACAACCAAACAACTGAACAACAGCACCTTTACAAGATAAGGTAACTAAAAAGCATGCTAACAAGGACAGAGAATGCACTAAAAATCTACTTAGGTAACCAGGCAGAGGTGGTACTCACCCCATCCCAGTACTTGGGAGGCAGAAGCAGGCAGATCTCTGAGTTCAAGGCCAGCCTGGCCTACAGAATGACAGCCAAGACTAAACAGAGAAACCCTGTCCCAAAAAACAAACAAAAAAATGTAGTTAGGCTGAACAAGGTAGTCTGGAGCCCCAGCACTGGGAAGGACGGAAGCAGATTGCGAGTTCCAGGCTAGCCTGGGACCCAGTCTCAAAACAATAAAACACATACACAAAAGTACAATTAAGCTAAAGGATGAGGATGTGCATTTAACCGATGCAGCAGGTAAGCTATGGGAGATGGCTGAGTTGAAGGGAAAAGTTTGTGGTCGGTCGGTCGGTCTGTCTGTCTGTCATATTTTCGGTTAAACTGCCATTTTCAAGTCAAATGCTCATGTAGCCCTAGCCTGAGGGGTTGAGCTGACTCTTCAGCAAGTCACAGAGGGATGAGTTAGCACCAGGCTCCCTCTAACTGCACTGTGTGACTTGTGTAACCTAAGCACTAGCCATGCATTCTGCAACAATGGGGACTCGGGGACTGAAGAGATACTCAGAGTTTAGGAGCAGTTGCTGCTCTGGTGGAGGATCTGAGTTCAGTTCCCAGCACTGATGTGAGGCGGCTTACAACCTCCTGTCATTCCAGTACCAGGAGATCCAACACCCTTCTTGGTACTGTATTCAAGCACACATGCACATAATTATTAAGATAGCAATAATAAAATATTTTTTACAAGTTTTCCTCACTGTACAAGGATTGTAGGCTGGGCACCTGGAGACAGAGGTAGGCCTACACAGTGAGACTATCTATAGTGCCATGAGATCACCACAGTACTCAGGGGCTGCTGTTGGCTGATGTGAAAATGCTATTACAGCATGGATGTCCTTCCAGATTCTTAGAAAACGATTTTATCTCCTGTGCCCAGGGAAGAACTTGGACTTCTTTCTACTAGGTGGCTGATAACACAGTGTGATTTCTATCTATCCCAGTTCCGGCCCTGGTAAGGCAAACATGAGGGAAACTAGGGTTAGGTCATCCATACAGGGAGAAGGTGACATGAAGAATTCAGTGTTACAGGGCAGCTAGGAGAATTCTCTACCTCAAAACACCAGAATCTCACTAGTACCAATCCTGGGCACAACTGGATCCTCCAGCCAGCTCGGACAAGGCAGCATTTGGACACAGTGTTCTGAGCCCCCTCCTCTCCTGGCGTGTGTGAGGCCTTCTGCCACCATGTCCCTTCTTTTTTCATGTCACTGGGTTTGTGTGACAGGGCACACCTGACCCTGCACCACCTGCCCACCCATTCCTGCTGACTGCACAGCCTGCCAGAGAGGAAGGCCAGCGATGCTTGTCTATGCTGCCTCCATGTAGCAGCTCTGCACTAAGGCCAGCTCTTGTCCGTCTATGCTGCCCCTGAATGGCGGCTCTGGAGTAAGCTCAGCTGTTGCTTGTCTATGCTGCCCCCGTGTGGGAGCTCTGGGGTAAGGGTAGCTGTCTGGGTTTGGTAGGCTATTCAGAATGGATTCCTGACTCAGACTGGGAATCTATCTCTCCACAAATGGAGCCCATGCTCTCCAACAGGAGCTTTATCAGTGTTGATGGTGATCTTTACAAACCCTCTGATCAGTCCTCTTTTCCAGTTCAGAAAGGTGTGTGTGAAGAAGTCCAGATCTGAACCAGTGCAGTGAATTTTACAAACACTGGATGGCCAACTGCCTGACTTGAAGCCCTAATTTATCCTGCAGGCCTCAGGAAGGTGCATTCCAAAAGCCTGTATCACCAACACTTACTTTATATCCTTAAAAACAGCCACCTTGGATCTGGAGAGATGGCTCAGAGGTTAAGAGCACTGGCTGCTCTTCCAGAGGTCCTGAGTTCAATTCCCAGCAACCACATAGTGGCTCACAACCATCTGTTATGAGAAATCTGGTGCCCTCTTCTGGTGTGCAGATATACATGGAAGAAGACTGTTGTATACATAATAAATACATAAAATCTTTAAAAACAAACAGCCAGCTCCTAAGATTTCTAGATGCTAAATCTCCCGTGGCCACATCCCAAGGCACAGGCTGCACAGCTCAGTCTGTCTGTCCCTGTGTACAGAGTGGCCAACATGGCCAGCGGCTCTGGGGACAGCTCTTCAGTACTTGAGTAACATATAAGCATAACTGATTGGCAGCGTTGGACTGCATCCCTCCTACAGGGAACATACGAGCAACCAGCTTTATGGGATACTTGCTGGCAGTGGTGGTTGGACTACTGTCACCCTTCTCCAGTCTCTATGGAATTGAGCCCCTAAACTTCCTTTCCCACCTTTTCCTGGGACCTTGGAACCTTAGGGCTGGGACAGGCATGGGACCTCCCAGGCATGTGAGCTCCGGGGTTTCACCGGAGAGGGGCAGGGTCTTGGGGTCTTCTCCCGATTTGGCCTGTTACACATTAAAGCTCTTTATCCTGCTTCTCTTGTGTCCTCATGTGCAGAAACACATGTAGGCAAAATGTCCACACACATAAAAAAATGTTTTTAATCATCATTAAATTTTAGCCAGGCATGGTGGTCCACACCTTAATTTCATCACTCAGGAGGCAGAGGTAGGAGAATCTCTGAGTTCAAGGCTAGCCTGGTCTACAGAGCAAGTTCCAGGACAGCCAGGAATACACAGGGAAACCCTGCCTTGAAAAAAATAGTAATAAATAAATATATAAATAAAATTTAAAAATGGGTTTAGTCAGACATGGTAGTGCACGCCTTTAATCCCAGCATTCAAGAGGCAGAGGCAGGTGAAGCTCTGTAAGTTCAAGGCCACACAGTGAGTTCCAGGACAGCCAGGACTATGTAAAGAGATGCTATTTCAACCCCTCCAAACGAAATAAATAAATCGAGTAAAAAAACAAAAACAGATTTAGCATGCACATGGTATACAAACATACATTCAGGCAAACATACACATAAATAAAATCTTTTAAAAAACAAATTTAGCTTGCTTTTAAATCATAAAGTATGAATAGTTGGAAATTTTCATTAATTTTAATGGGCATATAGAGAACTTAAAAGCACCCATGTTTAGTTAAGGGATGTGTATGTATGTGGGCTCACACAAGTCGGGTTTTGGCTGTGCTTCCTGGCCCATGCAGAAAGCATGCATCATGGTGTTTTGGACACACAGAGCATTACCTAGTAAAATTTCCTAACCTCCCTGCCCCCAGCTGCAGCAGCGAGGCAAACCTTGAAGCTGCAGTCTCCTTTGACATGGGCTGCTGGAGAGCTCAGGGCCGAGCCAGCAGTTCCAAGGTTCAGTGAGCACGCCAGGCACTGCTCAGATCATTCTTTAACCAGGCGTTCGTTTGACTTACTCTTTCTTTTCTTTTATCCATACTCTATTTTTAGTCTATTTTTTTCATTTTCTTATTTACCTTTCTCTGCATTTCAGTAAGCTGCCTTAAACCTACCTGAGTATGAGGGAGGCTGTAATTTTATTTTCAATACTAAAGGCAGCCTGTTTATGACATGAGTCCTACTTAAAGTTGCACTGGTCCACAGGGTACTGCAGATCATCAGGGATCCTGCCCAGACCTGGACTCACACACCACAAGGGCTGACCCTCAGCTGCACCCTCCTCATAAACAGCTTTGTTTTCCTTTCGGGAGTTTCTAGACTACTAAAGACAAAGGCATCAGAGTCTCCCAAATGTCATTTTCTCAGACTTCCGTTCTCATTAGTAAGTTCACTTCAAGTCTGGGGGGACAAACTCAGGACACCCTTTTTCTCAGTGCCTCACCGTCCCAGGTCTTGTGAAGTCCACGCTGTGAGCCAGGCTCTGTCGCATCTGGTTACTGAAGAGGCGGACGCAGACGCTCTGCAAGTACTCGGGGGTGATCTGCAAGAAGGACAAGGCCGTCAGAGGCAGGCATGCAGCCGGCCCAAAGGACCTCGAAGGCTGACTGATGAAAGAGCCATGCTAGAGACAGCATCTTAATGCTTTATTCTTTGTCCTGGTTTCTGCTGCTGTGACAAAATCACCTTACTGTTGTGGTTCGAAATTGCCCCCCACAATCTCATAGGTAGTGGCACTATTAGAGGTATGGCCTTGTTGGAGGACGTGTGTCACGGTGGGGACGGGCTTTGAGGTTTCCTATGCTGGGGATACTACCCAGTGTCTCAATCGACTCCCTGTTGCCTACAGAGGTAAGACTCTCAGCTCCTCCTCCAGCGCCTCATCTGCCACATGCTGCCATGCTCCTGCCATGATGATAAGGGGCTGGTAATGTTTTCTTTATAATAGCTGCCATGATCATGGTGTCTCTTCACAGTAATAAAAACCCTAACAAAAAGTAACGCAGGGGAAAATGGGTTTACTTTACCTCCCTATTCCAGGGTGTCACTGTGGGGAAGTTGGCAACAGAAACTTAAGTATCCAGTGACATCCAGTCAAGGACAGAGAGAATGCATGTGCATGCATTCTTACACACATCAGAATCCAGATTTAGGGAGTGGTGCTGCCCACAGTGGGCGGGGTCTTCCTAATAAATTACTTAAAAACAAGACAATCTTCCACAGACATGCCTATAGGCCAACCTGATCCAGACAATCCCTCACTGAGACTCCCTCCTCAGATGGCATAGACTGTGTCAAGTAGATAATTAAAAGTAACCACCACAACCTCAGAGTTCTGCAGAGGAATTAACACACTGACCTAAGAGTTCAAAGTAACCAACTACAGAGGTAGGAGAGATGGCTCAGCAGTTAAGAGCTCTGGCTGCTCGTCCACAGGACCAGGGTTCAATTCCCAGCACCTACATGGCAGCTCACAAATGTCTGTAATCCAGTTCCAGGGGATCCGATACCCTCACAAATACATGCAGGCAAAACACCAATGCACATACAATAAAAAAAAAATAAGTCATTTATTTAGAAAAGTGCTGAGCAATTGTGGCTCATGCCTTTAGTCCCCAAGCTCAGGAGGCAGAGGCAGGTGAATCTCTGTGAGTTTGAGACCAGCCAGGGCTACAGAAAACCCTCAGAAAAGGAAGAAAAGAAAAAAAAAAGGAACTGCCCACAGGTATGATCACAGAATCCTACATGAAAGGGTGCTATTCCACTCAGTGTATTTCTAATGCCACGGGAAATAAATGGTGTCTCAACTGTTTCTGTGAACTCAGAGCATAAAGTACATCCCGTATGTAGTGGCAAGAGTGGTGCTTTCAAATCTGAAGATCCGGGTTCTAGTTTTTGATTCTTGACAAAATGAGCCAGCTCAGCAGCCCTGCCCTTGCATTCCTGAGCCATCAGTGAGGTAAAAGATGCCCACATGCCTGGTTCATACTGAGGAGTGCTGAGGCCACAGATGCTGCCTATGTAGACGGCAGTCATTATCAATAAACTATCAGGTACACAACAACTCAATGCTGACTTCCTGCCATGACGACTCACGACGGCTTTGCCTCTCAAGTGCTGAAATTACAGGTGTGCAGGGCCACACGCAACTACAAAGTTTAACCATGGATGGTGTTTGCTGAGTGTGTAGAGAAACACATTCTGATACAATCTGAAGTGGAGCAAAAAGGTCTCAATATTCATCCCTGGAGATCTGCTAACAGGTCATCCTTAGGTGGAACCCTGCGCAAGCATTTGCAGACAGAAGTAGGAGGGAGTCACTGATTCCATTTCTTTACTGATGTGCCAAAGGAAAGAGGGAGACATGCTCATGGACAAAGACCATCAACAGACTGTGACAAATGGGAAATAAGTAGCCAGTTTCAGAGGAGTAAGGTCATATGATCATAACGAAATCTAACAACTCTGGGTGCCATGTGTCTACACTTGCAAGCCTCCATATATGCACACAAACGTACTGACATCATGCAAGAACATGTTAACATCTATGTCAAAAGGGGGAGGAAAGCATGGTGGGGTCCTCTGCATTGTTTACATTTTTTGTCATAAGCACATATTTCTAGATGAGCTAGGGGGCTGCAGAGACGGCTCAGCGGTTAAAAGCTCTTGCTGCTCTCTCTTCCAGAGGATCTGAGTTCGGTACCCTGCACCCACATCAAGGAGCTCATTAGCGCCTGTAGCTCCAGTTCCACAGAATCTGATGCCCTCTTCTTACTACTTTGGGCACATGGTAAATAAACACACATGCAGGCAAAACACCTATAAACATATAATCTAAGTTAAAATGAAGAAGAATGTATCTTTCATGCTTTGCCCATCTTTTTAAAAAATTTTGTATTTTTTAGTGTTTGTCTACATGTAAGAGCACATGTAAGGGTTCATGGGGAACTGAGCCCTGGTCCAGTGTAAGAGCAAGTGTTCTTCCTCAGGGTTTCTCTGTGTAGCCCTGGCTATCCTGGAACTCCCTCTTTAGACCAGGCTGGCCTTGAACTCAGAGATCCACCTGCCTCTGCCTCTGCCTCCGTAGTGCTGGGATTAAAGATGTGCACCACCACTGCTCTACTTGTCTGGTTTTTGAAGCAAGGTCTTTCTACATAGCCCTGGCTACGCCAGAACTATGCATTCCAGGCTGGCCTCATACACACAAAGATCTGCCTGCCTCTGCCTCCCAAGTGCTGGGATTAAAGGTGGGTGCCATGCCTGTCACAGGTGTTTTTAACCACTGTGCAATCTCCGCAGCCCCATTTTGATACCTGAGGCCCCTTGACATTTCTGTCTTGACATCTGCGAGTCTCAGCTTGCAAAGTCAGTAGGAGGAGTTTACAGGCTCATCTTTGATCATCATGCCACACCAGGTATCATATCTTCCTGGCTGCCAGAGGCACACCCAGAATGGGGACACTTATTTTTTTAATAGGACAGAAGACAAAAGGGAGGTGTGTATTTTTCCTTGTAGTCTACATGCTTGTTTGAGGTTGGACACAGTTTGTCTCCTCCAAAACTCACATTAGAGTCAAACGTGGGTCCTTAATCTCTGAGCCATTTCTCCAGTCCCCTTTACCTTAGTCTTAAGACTAGCCATGTATCATAAGTTACCAGTAGCTGGGCGGTGGTGGTGCACGCCTTTAATCCCAGCACTCGGGAGGTAGAAGCAGGCGGATCTCTGTGAGTTCGAGGCCAGGCTGGACCGACAGCCTCCAAAACAATACAGAGAAACCCTGTCTCGTAAAAACCAAAAATAATAATAATAATAATAATAATAATAATAATAATAATAATAATAATAAGTTACCCAGTAACACCAACAACAACATTACGTGGTACACAGAACTGAGGAATAGTGCCCACCAGGGGACAGCAAAGCAACGGGTCTTTCTGCACTGACTCAGTATCCATATACTTCTATCAACTCTGTCCATCTTAGTTCTGTGGGGTTTTTTTTCTTTTCTGTTTTTTAGATAGGGTCTTACTATGTAGCCCTGGCTAACTTGGAACCTGCTATGTAGTACCAGGCTGGTCTTGAACTCATAGAGATCTGTCTTCCTCTGCACCCACCCGCCCCCACCGCCAAGTGCCATGATTAAAGTGTGTGCCAATACATTGGACCCATAAATAACATTTTAAAGGAAAAAAAAGAAGGCAGAAACTGAACTGAACCTATGTGCTCAGAACATAGGTAAAACCCTGCAAGTGTCAGCACGGTTGGTAGACACTGGCTTTCTGAAATATAGGGCAGGTTCCTTCAGTGAGGGGTCAGGAGTCCTACATCAATGCAGCCCAGGCTCCAAGCACTTTCTCTGAATACACAAAGGGATGTTCCTTACCATCTTGCCACTGACTGTGGCCTCTAGAGAATCCACCAGCTCGGCTGTGACTCCGATGAGGTTGTGGTAGTCGGCCTGGATCTTATTGTACCGCTTGAGGTAGGTCATGGCTCGGCGCTCGGCCTCCACCAGCTGCTGGTGGAGCTGCTGCAGCATTTCTAGGAAGACAGTCTACACTGAAGCCAAACACAAGGACAGTGGTGGCAGCAAACCCAGAAACCAAGTAACCGTGCTCTACTCTGAGGCTGCCAAGCCTTCTCCTATGATACTTCACAGCACCACGTAAGTGGTGACAATAATAAAAAAGAAATCCAACAGCAAATGCTGGTATGGGGAAAACTCTTACTCACTGCTGGTGGGAATGTGAACTCAGGCAGCAATTATGGAAAGCAGGATACAGGTTCCCTACAAAGTTCATATGACCAAGCTAAACCCCTCCTGGGCGCAAATGGCAAGATATCACCACACGTGGGCATATACCCCAAGGACTCTTTATCCCACCACAAAAATAGCTGCATATCTGCTTTACTGCTACTGCATTCACAATAACAAAAACAAAACAAACAAAAGGAACAAACAAGCCAAGATGCCCAGTGACACATGGGCAGCTAATGAAAATGTGACCCACATACAAAGTGGCAGCAAAAGAACTGTAGGTTGAAGGTGCATTTGCAGGAGCAGCAGGGCAAGAGCCAAATGCTCAATCACGTTTAAGGATATCAACTGCTGCTGCACGCCTTTAATCACAGCACGCAGGAGGCAGAGGCAGTTAAATCTGAGTTTGAGGCAAACCTGGTCTATAGAGTCAGTTACAGGACAGCCAGACACACATAGAGAAGCCCTGTCTGTTTTTTTTTTTTAAGATTTATTTATTATGTATATAGTGTTCTGTCTGCATGTATCCCTGCAGGCCAGAAGAGGGCACCAGATCTCATTACAGGTGGTTGCAAGCCATCATGTGGTTGCTGGGAATTGAACACAGAACAGTGGTCTTAATCTCTGAGCCATCTCTCCAGTCCAAGAAACCCTGTCTTGAAAACCAAAACCAAACAAACAAAAAAGCCAACAACTGGCCCTGACTCATTTGAGACCAGTGACAAGCGCAGCTGAGAATTCCCTTGTAGTGGGTAGAGAAATCTCAGGGGCTGAAGGGCTCCTAGGCTGTGGGACAGCTATGCAGCAGCCTAGTAGTGACTGCCAACATTCTAGGTTAGCCCTGTGAAGACACATCTACTGCTCCTCTGTGGAGGTTCAACAAGACCTGTGCACTCTTGAGTCTTGAGTGCGGGAGCATAGTGGGCAGAACCGGTCACACCTCTGGAACCACTGGGTTTGGGATGTGCAAGAGAAACTGGCACTAAGATGCAGGGCTGCCAACTGCACTATATTTAGTGACATGTGTGTTGGGGGAGGCACAGGGTGGAAGAGTCTGGAGGAGGAGGCTATCAGCAGAGCTGGGGTCCACCAAGTTTAACAGGTGAGCCAAGTAGAGCTTCCATGCAAACATAATCACAGACAATAAGATCCATGCTGTGTGCTTCCAGAAAGAAAAGAGAATTCTCTTGGTGACTGGAGAAAAGACTATCCTCTACATCATGTCTAAGAGCCAGCCTGAAAGGTGGCTTACTTGGCAGAGACTTCAAAACAGCAAGGCACTCAGACTATGGCATGGGAGTTGCTATTTTTAACCAAATCTGCAATGAGAACCAAGAATAAAGCAGAAGCCAGGAAAAGGAGCAGTGACATATGGCCAAGACTCACCTTAGTTGGTAAAGAAATTAGCTCTAATAAAGAGAAGCTTAACTGTGTCTGGCCCTTTGTCTAAATTCAAGTGTAAGTCAATCAAGGCCTTTGTACTGCTGGAGGACACTGCAGAAATCTGCAATGTGACCAGAGACTCAGAAATGCAGAGATGGAAATTAGTTTCAAAGACTTTCCAGAAAGAGCAATGGGAGCCCCTCCTGTGTTACATTCCAGGCTCTGTCAAAACCCAAACTAAAACCAAGCATATGGATACCCTGTCTACTCAAGATGGCCTTGGGATTTCTGCAGTCAGTCAGCAAGGCATCCAGATGACTGAAACTCAACTTCTAATGGGTCAGGAGTGTTTTATACTGACAGCAGAATCCAGTGTCATCCACAGGAAGTTTTTACAGGCAGAAAAGAGGAGTTACAGTCATGGCAGCTTCAGTCAAGATTTCAAAGGAAAGCCCATGAAGCCAAGCAGTGTGCTGGGGTTGGAGTCCCTACAAGCCATCCCAGTGAGGCGGTATGTTATACAGCTCTAGCATGGCACTGAAATCACAAGAGAAGGGTACCAGCAATGTGCGATGCCCACTTAGGAAAGCTGCAGGCAGGATGCATAGCCAGCCTGAGAACGGCCATGTGGACTGCCACCGGCAAAGCCACAGATGGAGGCAAAGCTGAGGAGCCCATATCCTACCAAACTGCCCCAAGCACTAGACTTAGGAGCTGCAGGATTTCGTGTTTGCCATCTGTGTTTGGCTCTTGCTTCGGGTACTTCAATACATTTTATTTTCCTGTTTTTTCCTTTTGGATTAGGAACCTGTAGCCTGCCCATATTCTACTACTGGGTAAGTCTGTAACTTTTTGTATGTCTTTTACAGAGTTCAGAGCTCGGTTTGCCTTAAATTTTAGATGAATCTCTGGTATTGGGCTTCTAAGCAATGCTAGAACAAGCAGCTCTGGGGGCTCTCAGAGATGGGGTTAGTGTGTTTTCACTGTGAGATGGTCATTAGCTCTTGGGGCCAGTGGTATAATCCAACAGTTTGAGTGTCTCCCATACATCCATGTGTTAGAGGCTTCGGCCCCGGGGTGGTGCTACTGGGAGGACACAAAAACTTCAGGAAAGACCCAGCCTGTCTTCTCTTTGCTTCCTGGTTCATGATATAAGCAGCATGTTCTACCACATCACTTACTATTAACACAGGTGTCCTCATCAGAGACCCAAAGCAACCAGGCTGCCTGATCTGGAACTGCAGCCCCCAGGACAGAGAACTAAATCAACACTTTCGCTTTGTAAGTTAGACTGCCTCCAACATTTATTTCATTGTGATGATGGGTGGATGGATAACATATGAGGAAACCAAGGGCAAAACCAAGCATTCAAAATCTTCTTGCCTCATGCTACCAGACTCTCCATATGTGTCACAGCTAAATGATCACTCATTTGCCAACTCCCTGGTAAGATGAATGAAATTATTTAGTAATACTTCCTTTCTTTAAAAAAAAAAATGCTGGGACTGGAGATAGGGCTCTGAGTTTGGGAACACTAGCACTCATCCATAGGACCAGGTTTGAATCCCAGCACCAACACTGCCACTCACAACCATCTGTAACTCCCGTTCCAGGATCTGGTGCCCTTTTCAGGCATCTGAGGGAGACAGGTACACATACATGTGGTACATAGACTTACATGAAGGCAAAACACCTATACACATAAAAATAACCTTTTAAAAAAGTTTAATTCTCTTAAACAAAGCACAGAAAAAAATCAAGGAAGAAAGTTCTCAAATCCTCTGACATTGCTCTTCTTGGAAAAGAGCAACATTGCTATTTCATGGACCAAATTTTCATGTAGGAAAACTCCATCCTTTGGGAGCTGAGGACCCTGCCTTCCTAAATACTTGTGCGTAAAGCTCATCACAGACACTTCCCAGCAACTGAAGGCATTTCCAAAACAGAGTATCTAAGACAAGACCCAAGCAATGCATTACAACTAAAGCCACCAAGGCCACAGTAATGAGTTTTTCTCACCTTACTGAAAGATGAAATGTTCTGGTAAAAATTATTGCCATGGAAAAAAAATACCATTTTATGTAAACACTAAGACTGGAATTACTTTGAATGTTTAAAAAACTGGAAATGCTGTCTAAAAATGGAACTGCATCTGACAAGCAGGAGGTAAAAGCTGAGCTATTAAAATAATTTCTCTGCCTCATGCTGGCTGTGCGCTTCACGCCAGCCTGAGACTTGGCTGCTTCCCTAGTCTCCATTTCTTACTTATCTAATGTGCTGGACATGATGACACACTAGCCATCCTTAAAGAGTGGGCCTCAAGGAGCTGCTCAGAGCAGGATCACAAGGCATTCTGTAAATATTTAGACTTTGAAAGCCCTCATTTGCCAAGTCCACAAATTCTCTCCGTCTCTGTTTCTTCTCATAGCTTAAAGTTGAGCTGGCAAAGCTGCTCTGGTGAAAGCAGTAATCAAGATGATTTACCTTTGCTATTCTGTCCATTCTCCTTCTGGGACGAGAAAGCAGCTCAGGAAAACAGGGCCCTGGGGCATCTGGTGGTGTGAGGCTGATAAAGAAAGGGCCAGAGGCTGATGGAAGAGACTGATCACAACCCTGGAGGCCAGAGCTCCACAGGTTGATGAAAACAGCCAGACAGCAGTTTCTCATGCTGCTTAGTCACTGCCAGCCCTTTGCTCCATTGCAGTGACCTCCATGAGAGAGAGCCATGTGCTGCAGTACTCCCACAGCCTCCACACTGGCCTGCCTGCCCCTAACAGAAGCCTTTGCACCGCTGGCAAAACCTTCCCAGTACGCTTCTCTGAGCCCACACTCCTGAGACTGTCACTGCAGCTCTAAAGCTTCAGCCCGAAGACACAGACTGGGGGAGGACAGTGGCAAAGGCTGCATCTGGAGCTGGGCTGCCTGGCTTTCAATCCTAGCTCCCCTGTGTCTGTACAATGAGTAGTCATGCCTTTGGTTTATCTTACAGACTTCTTCCTTCTCTGCTAACAGCTCCATGAACACATGCTGTGTGGGGCCTATGTACAGTGTGCCCTTCAGTGACTTTTTGTGCATGCAGAGCTGTGTGTCCAGCACTATAATCACCTCTGCTCTTCTTCTTCCCCTCCATTCCTTTCTCTTTCTTCTCTTCCAGGGCAAGGGGTCAAACCCAGACCTTGTGCATAGCAAGGTACCTCCTCCAGCCTCATATGAGATGACTTTGGATAGATGCTTGTCCAATAAGAAAAGACACATGTTCTTGTAGATTAACAACCAGTGGGAAATAAACTAATCCTGGGTGAGGTGACAGAGCATTCTGCTATTCTTGGAACAAGCTCCATTTACAGCTAGGACACTGTCCCTCTGTATTCTCAAACGTGTTCCCAGTGGAATTAGGTTAGGATAATGAATGTACAACTGTGTCTAGTTGTTAAAAATCAATAAATTCAACACTTCTGATAGGTAAACTTTATAGTATATAATTATGTAACATGGATGCTTAAAAAGCCTAGATTTGAATGACAAATCCAAATGCCATGACATCAAGGCCTCCCAAATGACTCCATGACCCTTTGCAAAGAACACTTTTTCCAAGGAGATTTTTTTCAAGAGTATAGTTTTTTTCTTTTCTCTACAAAGACAGCTTTTAGACTGGTGACACCAGCATGAGATCATAGGGCTGGAAAGATGGCTCAATGGTTAGTTTCTCTTCCAGAGGGTTAAGTTCAGTTCCCTGTACCCATGTCAGGTGACACACCCTCCTCAAAGTCCAACTCCTGGGTATCTGGACACTTTCTTCTGCAGACACTTGCACTCTCTCTCCCTCCTTCTCTCCCTCTCTTTCTCTCTTTCTCTCCCTCCCTACCTCCCTACCTCCCTCCCTCCCTCCCTCCCTCCCTCCCTCTCTCTCTCTCTCTCTCTCTCTCTCTCTCTCTCTCTCTCTCTCTCTCTCTCACACACACACACACAAATATATCTTTAAAAATATAAAATAAGACCATGGCCAAGTCTCAGAAATCCATGAAAGTCAGCCCTGTTCAGGTCATGGCAAAGCATCCATGAATGCTTAATTCACCTCATAAACATGAATGCAGCAGATCCTTGACAGCTTGCTGGTCTGAGATACCCAAAACCAGTGTTGTTGCTATAACCCAGGGGTCCCCAATCACTTCAAAAGGATACATAGATGGTTAAAAGTTTTGGCGTGTTATTGGCTTTAAATATTAAAGCTAAAAACTTTTCCAGCTTCAGCTTTAATTCCGGAGTCCAAGAATCCTGGAAAAAAAAATCAGCTCACTAAATATCCACGGTACCAACAAAGCTATATGCGTTGGATAAAATAGTCCTGTCAGTTACAGAAACCAAACGTGAAGCATGGTCAACAGGGTTTCTGATGTATGACTGATTCATTTACAAATAATTCAAGGACCCACAGCAGGGACAGGTAACTTGCATATGATTGGAATATTCATTCAATTTAAATACAAGCATGATAGATTAGGTATAGTTTAGGCATGCATGCCCTATGACACAGACAATTATCTCTTAAGTTTCTAGACAACTCCCAAAGAACGGGAATCACTTCTAGGACCTCATCTAGACAAGAAGAAAGAGGTGGTGCCTGCCTGGAGTCCCAGCACTGAGAAGGTAGAGGCAGGAAGATCAGAAGGTCATCTCAGTTATATGCTGAGTTCAAGGCCAGCCTGGGCTACATGAGACCTGTCTCAAAATATAGAAAAAGAAACAAAAACAAAAACAAATATTTGGGACCCATGAACTCCCCAGGCAAGTTGTTCTGGTTTTGATTACTATTTTATATAACCAACACACATGTACTTTCCACTTAAATACTTCTCAGACAATGTTCTTGCACACAACATGGACAGACTGGAATACACTCTCTAGACATGAATTTCTTATTTTTTCCTTGACTGCTCTTATTTCTCAATAAAGTCTTTGAGAAGGACACTTTTCTGAGCCTGATGAGCACTGAGTCCAAGGAGAAGTGTGTAGAGCCCAGAGAAGCTGGGCCAGCTCTGGAGTCTGGGAAAAGCCACCAGCCCCTTTCTCGGTTTCTTCCTGTGCGGAACACAGGTTTTAGAGCGCACTTGGCTGCTTGACTGTCTTCCAGAGCTAACGCTCGGATCCTCAGAATCCCCAGTGGAACCCTAACCCACGGCAGGACTACTAAGGATGGGGGCTGAGCCCAGCTCACCTCCATGGTTTCCCCATGGCCTCCCGCCCTCTCCCTTGCAGAGCCTGCAAACTTCCGTCTCCCACAGCCTAAGCAAGGGCTCCACCCTGAGTTACATCCCCAGCTCCTTTTACTTTTGATTTTGAGATAATAGGATCTCATTAAATTGCCCAGGCTGGTCTTAAACTTATTATCTTCCTGCCTTAGTCTCCCTAGTAGCTGAGATTACAAGTCTGTACACCAGGCTAGCCCCTTCCATCTCTTTACATCTTTACTCACTAAGCTGAAGTCAGCAATCACTCAGGATTTTCCCTGAAATAATCACAGGTGTCTTAAGAGTTTCCACAAGAGGGTGTTCACTGCAGAGTGTGCAGAAGACTCACTGATGACTACACAGAAACTGACTAGCTGGTGATGCACACTTCAAAAATTTTTTATTATTTATTTATGTGAATGTGTGGGTGCCTGTGCCTGTGCCCAAGGAGATGTGTTAGCTCCCTGAAGCTGGAGTTCCAGGTAGTTGTGAGCTGCTGATATGAGTGCTAGGATTCAAACTCTAGCCCAAGATATACACTTTTAATCACAATACTAAGAAGACAGAGTTCTCTGTGAGTATAAGGCCAGTCTATTCTACATAAGGAACTCCAAGCCAGTCAGGACGAAATGACATAGTAAGAGTCTGTCTCAGAAAAAAAGGAGCTGGGCACATGCCTTTAAACCTAGGACTCAGGAGGCAGAGGCAAGTAGATCTCTGAGAGTTCGAGGCCAGCCTAGTCTACAAGTTCTAGGGCATCCAGGACTATATAGAAGAGACCCTATCTCAAAAACAAACAAAACGCTGGGCGGTGGTGGTGCACGCCTTTAATCCCAGCACTCGGGAGGTAGAGGCAGTCGGATCTCTGTGAGTTTGAGGCCGGGCTGGACCAACAGCCTCCAAAACAATACAGAGAAACCCTGTCTCGTAAAAACAAAAACAAAACAAAACAAAACAAAACAAAAAAAACCCAAAGAAATTTCCTTTTCTATTGACACTGCAACACATATATTATGAAAATAACTGAAAAAAATCTTGATAAAATGAAGACCTTAAAGAAAGGAATCGCAGGTCCACAAATGAAGTGAAAGTAAGAATCCTGAGAGAGCTTAAACCTGTGATCCAGAGGGCTCCACCATCAGTCAACAGTAGAATAAATAAATCCACTATACAAATGGGCATAGCAAGCCAATCCAAAAGGCAAGCCAGTCTAAGGTTCTTTACTCAGAGGCTAAGGTAAGAAACTACTGTTAGTATTTACGCATCTGTACTGGCCTGTCCTGGGGGTTCTGACAGGATACATCCCCTGCTGCAGCCACTAAGAGCACCACCTGTGCACATTCACTATGTTTCCTTTTAAAAGAGCCCTGCCCACCTCCTATCCTTCTCTCTCTTTCTCTCCCTCCCTCTGTCTGTCTATTCCTCTGTGTCTCTCCTCTCCTGCTGCCCCTATTCCCGAGACTGGTCTTCCCCCTCCCCTTTCCCCTTTTTTAGCATCTCTTTCCTCTAATAAAAAACCCCTATGAGCCGGGCGTTGGTGGCGCACGCCTTTAATCCCAGCACTCGGGAGGCAGAGGTAGGCGGATCTCTGTGAGTTCGAGGCCAGCCTGGTCTACAGAGCGAGTTCCAGGACAGCCTCCAAAACAATACAGAGAAACCCTGTCTCGAAAAACCAAAAAAAAAAAAAAAACAAACCTATGCTTGAACCCTGACGAATGGCGAACTACACCTGTGCTAACCCTAACACAGATGAAGGACAGAAAACCTTACTCAAGGCCAAAATGGAGAAGGAAGGAAGGAAGTGAGGGAGGGAGGGAGAGAGGGAGAGAGAGAGGGAGGGAGGGAGGGAGGGAGGGAGGGAGGGAGGGAGGGAGGGAGGACATGGATATGAGAAGAGTCATGGACACTTGACCAACTACCCAGAGGAAACAATAAGGAGAGTGGGAGAGGAGCTACATGAAGAAATACAAACTGAGAATTTTTCTGAACTCTTCCAAGATACAAGGTACCAAATCAAGGAGGTTCAATAAATGAAGTGAGAAATTTGACCCAGGACACATTAAAGTGAAATTATGCAATCTCAAATCCAGAAAGAAAAGATAGGTCACTCTCAACAGACAGACGGGCAACTCCAAAGCAGCAGGAAGGGCAACAGGAGAGATGCAGTTAGGCTAGGCTTAAATATAAATGGATCATCTCTTCACTACCTATAAAGTATACGTAGTATTAAAAGCTAGTATATTTTCTAAATGTCGGTTTTAGTTAATACGCTGCAGTGGTGATGACAACAACAAAATATCCTATTTTATGGCACAAGGAAAGTTTGTTAAAACAAACTATCTGAACCCTGTTTTAAAATAAAATGTAAGAGTGGTTGCCTGGCAGGGAAGGGGGGGTAGAGGCAACTGCAAAGGGACAACACAAGACAGTCCTTAGCAATGACTACTGCACAAGTTCTGCACCTTGATGGTGGTGACAGTAGTGATACCTATGCACATGTTAAGATTCATAGAACTCACACACACACACACACACACACACACACACACACACAAGATTCATAGAACTCTACCTGTCTAAAACTCAATTTTACTATATGATATTTGAGAAAACTGATTTGATATGTATGCATGCTTGGGTGTGTTTGCAGCTAAAAACTACATTTACTTTGCTAACTATAAAGGGAATCATCTGATGTGTCTTCTGTGGTATCTGACTTGGCTTACAAAGATTAAGTCAACACTTGGTTCAGCTCATACAGATTATACATCATTATTTCCATTCTGACACTACAACCCAATTTCCTTCTATATGTCTCTACTAATATCTAACTGGGCTGTTTCTAAGTCTTGCTATGTCCCTTACAGATTTACATATACGTGCAAGAACACACAACCACAGCTAAAAGTGCAGGATGGTAAAAAAGTAAGTCAAACACTCCCAAACCATTTAATAGAATAGTTATATAAATTAGAGCTACAATAAAATGATAATAGTGATGATAAACCTTAGGTCTTTTAAAGCATCATTCGGAAACCACCAATACAACGCTGTGATCCAGGTTCTGGCAAGTCCCACAGGCAGCTGCTTACCTGGAAGAGCTCTTTAAATGAGGGGTGGACCATAGGATTGGGCACAAAAGGGAGGGCATAGAAGGGAAGGAACTCCGTGGTCTGGCTCAAGGCGGCCCCTTTGGTTTCCAGGTAGGTTTTGAAGTAAGAAATCCTCTCATCGAGCTCCTGCTTGTCCTAGAAGGAGAACATGTGTCAGGGTCTTTGGCTCGATAGCCAGTCCTCCTGTTCACCCTGTCCACTCTTTGAGTCTCCCTTGGTCCAGCAGTTTCACTAGCATTGCCCCATCCAGCCTGGCAAGGCACACTGCTCCAGTATCTAACAGCACTTTAAACAGGAATGCCAGAGGACCAGTGTATGTAGTTCACATGTTCTTTACATCACTAGCACCATCTTCTCATGTCCTTAAGAAGTTCCATGAACATCATTTCAGTGTCAGAACCGATCTCACCTCCTCTATCATAATCTACTTGACTAATTCTCCCATTGTGAGATGTACCCATCATTGCTTCTACTTTCCAGACACATAAACATTTGCCCTTGGAGTGGTTTCTAAAGGAGAATGACACATCTTTATAGTTTCCTGAAACAGAAGTGCTCCCCTTCCCTTCATGAAGCTAAGGATTGACTAGGCCCACATCACTGTTCCACACACAACCCAACTCAAGGGACCCCTCCATCACTCTATACACAACCCAACTCAAGGGACCCCTCCATCACTCTATACACAACCTAACTCAAGGGACCCCTCCATCACTCTATACACAACCTAACTCAAGGGATCCCTCCATCACTGTTCCACACACAACCCAACTCAAGGGACCCCTCCATCACTCTATACACAACCTAACTCAAGGGGCCTCTCCATCACTGTTCCACACACAACCCAACTCAAGGGACCCCTCCATCACTCTATACACAACCCAACTCAAGGGATCCCTCCATCACTCTATACCCAACCTAACTCAAGGGACCCCTCCATCACTCTATACACAACCTAACTCAAGGGACCTCTCCATCACTGTTCCACACACAACCCAACTCAAGGGACCCCCTCCATCACTCTATACACAACCCAACTCAAGGGACCCCTCCATCACTCTATACACAACCCAACTCAAGGGACCCTCCATCAGTCTATACACAACCTAACTCAAGGGACTCCTCCATCACTCTATACACAACCTAACTCAAGGGACTCCTCCATCACTGTTCTACACACAACCCAACTCAAGGGACCCCTCCATCACTCTATACACAACCCAACTCAAGGAGCCTCCTCTCCAGCTTCAGTGTGGACACCGAGGCTTTAGAACTGGTACTTTTCTCCTCCACCACACAGACCCCCCTTCCTCTTCCTGTGAAAACACCTCACTGAACCTAGGCTATGAGGTTCTCTTCTGCGCACTGAACTTAGAAAATAGATGACACTTTCATATTACATCAAAATAGAAATATTTTAAACAGCAATAAGGTGGGACAAAACAAAACAATAACAAGCACCAAAGAGAGTCTGCCCCTCCCCCCACATGGGTCAGACTTAGAGGAACAGACTTCAAAGAATGGCTACTTCACAGTAGTATGAAGCCACTCCCTCACCACTGTGCCCTCACCGGTGCCCCTGACATTTCAATAAATTCCTACAGGAACTCAGGTCAGTGTTACTTTGAGTGATCAAATGTCAGCCTTCTGTTCTTTGCTGTTTCATTTATAATTGAAGGCGCATCTACTACAGGGGCTTGAGACCACATCCTCTGCCTCTCTTTCCACATCTAGGAAAAGGCAGCAGAAGCTAAATTCAAGCTGCCCATTCACCTTCAATACCTCTTCTTCACTACTTGCATTTAAATGTATGGTCTGTGCCTTTTCTTAGATACACCAAGTTACTAAGTGAAGCAAACTTGCTTTGATGAGTCTCCAAGAACCTGAGGTGTTTAGGAAAACAATTTAACTCTGATCATAGAAATGACCAAATCTGCATATAAATTAGAAAATAAACTTCTGAGAATGAGGCCAAAAATCCTTTATCGGTACATAAGATGCAATGTGATAAAATGCTCACAAAACTGAACCAATGAGTCTTTGGAATCCACGGCGCCTGCGAGCTAACTCAGACTGACCCAAACCCTGACTCAGCCTACCGGGCTGCCCACAGAGTACTTGAGAAGATAGATGGCGAAATGGATGTGAAGGTAGAACTCCAGCTTCTGGGCCAGGGAGTCAGTGTCTCTGATGGAGCTAGGAACATGGCCCTCCCACAAATCGAAGAACAACTTCTGGTCTCCACTGTCAAACGCTGCCACCAGATCCTTCTGCAGGCAAGACATAACAAGAATCTTAGATGATGCTCATTGTCCCAACATCCCAAACTCTCGCCGCCTACATACTGCTAGATACATGCACACTCCTTCACGGAGGCTCCTTTGGCTGCAAGCCCTGTGACCACTCCTAGTTTTTCAGCCTTTGCAATACCCAAGCTGGACTCCATGAGACACTAAGACCTTCCAAACAGAGTTCTGAGGCCAGGGGAGTCATGGGCATGTGAGTGCACTAAAGTCTCCTGAGAGGACTACAAACATTCCATGGTGGAGAACAACTGTTCAGAGTGCTTGCTGCCTTACCCTGAACTACTACAAGCCTTTCAGTACAAACCCGAACTTTTTTTTTATTGCTTGTTTGTTTTTCGAGACTGGGTTTCTCTGTGTAGCCTGGGCTGTCCTGGAACTCACTCTGTAGACCATGCTGGTCTCAAACTCAGAGATATGCCTGCCTCTGTCTCTGGAGTGCTGGGATTAAAGGCATGAGTCACCACAGCCTGGCTGAAACCCAGAACATTTTAGAGCAAGTCCAATAAAGCATTTCCATCTCTTCCAAACAGGGAACCTGTTAGCCACTGTGGATGGAGGCTGCCAGAACAGAGCTCAGGCAGCCATGCACAATCCCCCATTAGAGTAGGGGGACCTGGTCAGAGTCCCCTACAACCCTGCCAGCACTCTGGGGAGGCTGAGAGTTTCATGACTATAAATGAGGCCAGTGCAGACTTACCTGGTGTTTTAAGACTTAGAGTCATGAAACTTCGTTAAACATGTCTTGGCACACTCTACATATCAAATGGTCTGTCTACAATTTATTCTAGAGTCTGCATTTGTAAACCTGAAATTACAAACTTTCACTATGTCATTACCATCACCTCTGTATGTGGAAATGGTCCTTGCTTTAAAATAACCTCTACACATAAAACAATACACTGTTACTATAGTCACAAACTGATCTTTTGTTAGTCAGGGTCACCAAGATGAGAATGCACACATATCACCAATCACACAGCTGCTGGAACCAGGCCTAAGAATGGCAGCTTAAGGCCACCAACCATTAGTAGATTCTGTGTAACCACCATCCCAGACATTTTTGTTGTTTGAATTTCTAAAGAAATATTTTAGTTACACCTGATTAGAGATAGCATATATGTATGTGTATGTGCATGTGTGTGGTGTGTTGGCACACGTGCCACAGCGTGTACGTGAAGGTCAAAAGACAACTTTTGGGAGTTGGCTCTCCTACCACATGGTCCTAACAATCAAACTAATGTCCTCAGAGTTGGGAGCAAGTGTGTTTACCCACTAAGTCATCTTTCTAGTCCAGTTTTTAGCTAGACTCCCTCATCTTAACTTCCTGCCTCAGTCTCCCAAGAGATGGCAATAGGACATGCACAACCGTACTCCTCTTTTGCTCCAAGGATTTTTGTTTGGGAAATCTATCAGTGGAGCACTATGATAGAGTAGCATATGCTATAGTATAACAATATACAGTATTATCAAATAACTATTGATTGTGTAACCAAAAAACAAAGATAAATAAATATTAAACACACACACCAGAAAAGACTAAACATTAGCAAAGATGGATAAAACTGGAACCTTCTATATTGCTGGAGGGAATGTAGATACTTGTATGGATGTTTTGCCAACATGTAAGTCTCTGCACCACGAGCATGCCTGACACCTGCAGAAGCCAAAGGAACTGGAGTCACAGAGGGCTGTGAGCCACCATGTGGGTGCTGGGAATTAAACCCAGGTCCTCTGGAAGAACATCAGTGTTCTTAACCACTGAGCCACCTCTCCAGTCCCTTCTGTTTCTTTTTGCTATTTTTTTTTTATTAGCAACCATCCTAATGTATTTAAAGTATGGTATCTTGTGGTTTTCAGTGCATTCTTCTGATAGCTTTGGGTCTATTTTTACCTAACTTTAAAGAACTTGAAATGTTCAGACTGTCACAGCCTCTCACGTTGCTGAAGACAAGGCTGGTCTTACCTGGACTATCAATGACTTGCAATCCTTCTTTATTGATCCACCTACAGCTTTAGATAACGGCTTTCCTTTTACTTTGCATTCTTTTGAAAATGTCTTCAAGGTGTCTTCAAATTCCACAAAATCTAAATACTGGGAGAGAGAACATAATTCAAGAACAACAACAACAACAACAACAAAAAACAACTAATTGCAAATAATCCAACTAGACAACAGTCAAATGCCCTGAACACACGTCTCTCTAATGCAGACACATAAAAGGCCAACAGAAATATGCTCACAACCACACCCTTAAGAATGTCTACTATCGGGGGCTGGAGAGATGGCTCAGAGATTAAGAGCACTGACTGCTCTGTCAGAGGTCCTGAGTTCAATTTCCAGCACCTGTATGGTGGCTCACAACCATCTGTAATGAGATCTGGTGCCCTCTGCTGGCCTGCAGGCATACATGCAGACAGAATACTGTATACACCATAAATCTTAAAAAAAAAAAAGAATGTCTACTATCAAAAAGACAAGGCCTGGGAACAGACCAGCACACGATGCTTTTGCAGAGGACCCAAGCTTACTTCCTGGCACCAACATCAATCAGGAGGCCCACAACTTCCCATGTAACTCCAGCTCCTGAGGATCCAAGGCCCTCTTCTGAGATCCATGGGCACCTGCACTCAATGTACATCTATGCACACAAACACACAAATCATAAAATAAGTCTTCAAGAAGATAAGTGCTAACAAAGGCAAAGGAAGTAGAGGAAAGGGAGCCTTCTACCCTGTTAATGGCAACAGAGGCCAACAAAGCTATAGTGAAAATAAATGGAGGGAGGCTCCCCAAAAACTAAAACTGGGAAGGAGAATAACAAGAATACATTACATTCGTTATTGCAATTGTCAGCCGGGCGTTGGTGGCGCATGCCTTTAATCCCAGCACTTGGGAGGCAGAGGCAGATGGATCTCTGTGAGTTCGAGGCCAGCCTGGTCTCCAGAGCAAGTTCCAAGACAGCCTCCAAAACAATACAGAGAAACCCTGTCTCGAAAAACCAAAAAAAAAGAAAAAAGAAAATGTGGTGGTACTAAGGTAAAATACTACAGCCTTGGGGAACCCTGTCACTGGTAACACAAATGGCACTGGGGGACATACATTACATGAAATAGGCCAGGCACAGAAAGACAATTACAGTCTAAACAGTCACACTCATAGAAGCAGACGGCACAATAGCAGGTGCCAGAGGCTGAGAAAATATTTTGGTCAAAGGATAAATTTTAGTTATGCAAAATGAGTAAAGTCTGAGCTAATATTCAACATGGTGACTGTGAAGCATAAACATATTTGGGATTTGCTAGCAGAGTTGATTTTAAGTGTTCCTTTTTGTTTTTTTGTTTGTTTGTTTGTTTTGTTTTGTTTTTTTCGAGACAGTATTTCTCTGTATTGTTTTGGAGGCTGTCCTGGAACTTGCTCTGTAGACCAGGCTGGTCTTGAACTCACAGAGATCTGCCTGCCTCTGTTTCCCAAGTGCTGGGATTAAAGGCGTGTGCCACCAACGCCCAGCTCCTTTTTGGTTTTTTGAGACAGGGTTTCTCTATGTAGCCCTGGCTATCCTGGAACTAGCTCTGTAGATCAGGCTGGCTTCAAACTCACAAAGACCTACTTGACTCTGCCTCCCCTGTGCTGGGATTAAAGGAATTCTATACCACTGCCTGGCTGATTTTTGTATTAAGTGTTCTTAACACAATCAGAGGAAGGGAAGGGAAGGGAAGGGAAGGGAAGGGAAGGAAGGAAGGAAGGAAGGAAGGAAGGAAGGAAGGAAGGAAGGAAGGAAGGAAGGGAAGAGGAAACACAAGACAGGTGTACTTAATCAGCTTAATCAAGTGATCATCTTAGTACATCAATCCATACATTCATTGAATCATAAGGCCAAAACATACATCTTTTTGTCAATTACACTTATAGAAAACAGGCGCCCATGGATTCTAGATAAAAGTATCAGATCTCCTGGGGCTGGAACTACAGGTGGTTACCCTGGGAACCAAATCTGGGTCTTCTGTATGAGCCACCTCTGCAGCCCCATTGATTTTATTACTAATACATCAATGATGCAGTCTTGAGAACAACACCCCAATACTACTCTTCACACACGTCCTTTCAGCTGGCATCAGTCACATCATGTGCCACCTTTCCTAGACTGACTGAGTTGCCTGGTCCTGTCCACAGTCAGCCATTTGTTCACCATCACCACAGTGAACAAAGTTGCCTATCCAGAGTGGATACCCATCTTCCCTCACTGTCTCCTGAGGCACAACTGACAGTTTACTCACAATGACCAGCACCCACGTTTTCAGCTCGAACCTCAGAGATCTGTCTGAATCCTACTCTCCCCAAGCTTTCAGTGTAGCAAATCTAAATGGCCACAAGTCTAAGAAGGGCACTCCAGATCTATGGCACATGCCTGTGATCCCTGCACTGGGGAGGCAGGGGATAAGGATTTCAAGGTCATCTTTTTTACATATCAAGTCCAAGGCCATCCTAGGCTACATGAGACCCAATCAAACATAACACACTCACACCCAAGAATGAGTGAATAAAATAAAATAAAATAAATTACAAAGCAGAATCATTTGTTCATTTAATTTGTTTTGATAGCAGGGTCTCTGTATAAAGCCCAGACTGACCTGCTGAGCCTCTCAAGTACCTGGATCACATGTGTAGCTTTCTCCATTTTAAGGATTTATTTATTCTTATATCATGTGCACAGAGAGCCTGTCTGCACATATATCTGTACACCACATGCACACAGCATCCACAAAGCCTGACGACATCAAATCCTTTGAAACTGGAATTACAGACGGCTGTCAGCCACATGTGGGTGCTGGGAACCAAACCTGGGTCCTCTGGAAAAGCAGTCAGTGATCTTAACCTCTGAGTCATTTCTCTGGTCATACTACATCCTAAAACACATGTTTTGGGGACCTGAGTTCCAAACCAAGTACCCAAAAAGGCTGGCTCACAAATGCCTGCAACAAATGCCAATTCCAAGGGATCCAATGCCCAACTGTGGCCCCCACCAGCAGTCGCACACGCAATGCAAGCAGCCATACAGACATAAACACACATCATCTTTTTTAAAAAAGCTTTTCTGCAACTTGTGCTTCATTTAACTACCTCTTTCACCAGTCCAAGTAATTCAGATTCATGGGCCAGAATATCCCCCATAGTGAATTGTTGCTGGTAATTCTCACAGCAGAAATCTCTGCAAGACAAAACGTAAGACAAAGAAAGGTTACTATCAGCCACCTGAGAAATCACAAATGGGTGGCTGTAGTGGGCAGAGCACCTGGCTCCAAAGACAGGACATAGTAATACCCAGAACCTGTGACTACAGGGCAACAGGAAGTCACATGACTAGGGAGATTTAAAGATGCCTGTGGCAATAGGATTACTAATCAGCCGTCCTTCGATCACAGAGATAATCATGGATTACCAGTGTACCCAGGAGAGTCACAGAGGAAAGCAGCAAGGCCAGTGTCAGAGTGACAAGAGGCAGAAAGATGGACCTGTCACTGCAGGCTTGAAGACACAAATCAAGGAGAGAAAGCAGGCAATGGCAGGCAAGGCACACTATCCTCTACCTTGTCCTGAAAGAAATAAGCTGTCGAGACCTGAATTTGGCACACTCCTGAGTCCACTTAGCAGAAAGCCAATCAAATACTTTGTGTGGCTACTCACTGGAAATGTTCATTGCAGGCTTTGAACTCCCAGAACTGCAGAACACTAAGCCTGCACTACTTCAAGTCACCAAGTTCATGGGAATTCCTCAGAACAACAGTAGAAACCATGAGAGCTGAGCTGTGGTTCTATTGGTAGAGTGCTTGCTAGAAGGCATAAAAACCCTCTAGCACCTCATAAACTTGGGGTGGTGACACATACCTATAATCCTAGCTCTTGGGAGGGAGAGGGTGTCACATATATACATGCCTGTAATCCCACCACACAGGTGTTTCTAGGATCCAACAGATGAAGGTGGACTTCTTAGACCCAGCTAAGCCTTTTGCAGCTCTCCACTGACCTGCTGACTTGAACCGCATTGGCCGTCAAGCAGTTCCAGCAAACATAGAAACTCACCATGTCCACAACAGAGCCTGCCCTGGGAACCCGCATGGACACAACTCCGTCTGTTTTGATGCTCTTCCTGCAAACATCTACATCTTGTTTGGTCTCCACTTAAAGGTGCCCCACCCAGAGAGAACCTACCAAACCACATCTAGCCCATCACTCCCAAGTGGTGGGCTTCCCAGAAGCACTCCCCACTGGCTGACTTCAATATCCTGTCATTGATGCACCTGCATCAGAATCTGCTGCAATAACTCAAGGCAAGCATTGGTGTGGTGTATCTATGCCTTCGATGTCTGTTAGACAGTCAGGTCCTGACAGGTCTGGAGCTGAATGGAAAGAGATTCAGAGAAGAGAATGAAAACAAGAACTGAGGTCACCGTCTCATTAGAAACAGGGTAATGGTTTGAAGAAAAGGGAAGGTAGGAACCACACTGACTAAGACAACTTCACGGGGTATCCAGAATTCTGAGTTCACTGAAGCTATATGGACTAAAGACGGCACCACTGTGGACCCTGCTTTCTCCAGGCACCGGCAGCTGTCTGCGCTCAGTTACGAGGTGAGGCCTTCCTAGAAGAAAGAAATGTGACAATGATGGAACACTAGGTTAGGGGCAGGGGAGGCAAGGGCAGTTAAGTACTGCACAGTGTTAAGGTATTGCATAAGGAAGCACATTCCAGCCAAGCGATGGTGGCCACGCCTTTAATCCCAGCACTCGAGACAGGGACAGGTGGATCTCTGTGAGACTGAGGCCAGCCTGGTCTACACAGTTCCAGGATAGCCAAGGCTACATAGAGAAATGCTGTCTTGAAAAAGCAAATAAATCAACTGAATTAAGTTAAAAAGCAGGCTGAGCAAGCCATAGGGAGCAAGACAGTAAGCAGCCCTCCTTGGCCTCGGCATTGGCTCATGTCTCCAGGTTCATGCCCTGTTTGAGTTCATGTCCTGACTTCCTTTGATGAACAGTGACGTGGAATCGTAAGCAAAATAAACGCTTCCCTCCCCATGTTACTTTTGGTCACGCTGTTTCATCACAGCAATAGAAACTCTAACTAGGACAGTGCTCCACCGAATGAGCAAATTCACATCCACCTTAGCAAAGCGACAACGCTAGAATTAAATCTATGCTGATACTGCAGGACAATAAGCAGGAATTGGTTCTCTCCTTCCAACATGTGGGTCCTGGGCTTCCGACTTTGGTCACCAGGTTTGGTCAGCGAGAACATACTTCTCGCCAGTTCAAGGTCACCCGTCTGAGAACCCTCTCCGTTGGATGGATGTCCCGTCTCCTGAGCTCGGTTAATTTAGTTCAGACAACCCCTGGGCTACTTTGTGGAGAAAGAAGGGGAACTGTTCATCGTGTTTTAGCAAGCGGTGACTTCTGCATTCCCACATGCGAGAGATTTAGGCCTACAGCTGGTTGAATACGAAGATGAATTTGTCCTGCAAGTACCCTGCTTACATCTGGATCCAGTGAAGTCTGAGCTTGACCTGGATGCTGGGAGGGAAAACTATGGGGAGAAGGAACTAACCGCCCCCACGCCACGGATTCGAGCTGCCAATGCTCACTCTAAGTCCGCCCCACCGCAGCAGAGCGAGGGGTTCCTGGGAGAAGCAACGAAACTACGCTTGGGATGCGCAGGCGGCTGCGTCAGGCCCTGGCCACGGACTGACGAGACCAGCCACCCACGAGTCCCAGGGCCTGCGCCACGGTGCCCAGCCGCACCGAGAGCCGCGCTTACCAGCTGCAGGGCTGCGCTCTCTCTCCTCCGGACAGCCAGCTCTCCCGCCGTCACCCCGGCAACCGCCACCGGGGTCACGACGCGGCCAATAGCGCTGGGCGAAGCCGGCGCGGTGCACCCTGGGAGGGGGCGTGGGCGGTCGCAGAAGCGGTCTGCAGCGGAAGTGAGGGTTCGCTGTGGCGTGGCGTGCCTGGGTCTCGCTGAGTCTGCCCGTTTAAGGTCCGAGCACCACACTTCCACCGCCGACAGAACCTCCCAGAGATTATTAGAGTCACTTTGGTCTTTTTCATGTTTATTTGGCTTTGTAAACAAACAACGGAACCTGGCGAGATGGCTTAGAGGCTAAAGGCGCTTTCCTCCAAGCCCGACGACAGAAATTCGGCCCCAGGACTTACCTGGGGAACACGAGCGTGCACTAAACTCAAGGTTCTCCTCAGCCCACTGTCCTTAGTGTATTCAGATCTACTCTTTATTCTGGTCTAAACTCAGTGCTGAAGGCAAGGAGAAAACCTCTTCCCCGTCTCTAGGAGTGCTGAGGCTCTCTGTGGAAGTCTCTGTATTTTCATTTCCCAGGCCCTTAAAAAATGGGAGACTGCCGGCTTTGTTGGTGCACGGCTTTGATCCTAGCACTCGGGAGGCAGAGACTGGCAGATCTCTGTGAGTTCGAGGCCAGCCTGGTCTACAAGAGCTAGTTCCAGGACAGGCTCCAAAGCCACAGAGAAGCCCTGTCTCGAAAAAAAAAGGGGGGGGGGGACTCCCAAGGATATATATATATACTGTCCAGGGGATTTGGAAAAGGGAGATGACCTTGTCTTTAAAAGAGCCCTATCAATGCTTTTATGAGTTAGGATGTCTTTCAAGCTAGGCTATACTGTGTTCTGTCCAGGTAATAATGGCTTGAAAATAATTTTCCCTGCCTGCATTCTCAGTTAACATTTATTGTCAGCATAACTGTGTACAAGGGGTTATCAAGTAAAATATAGGACAAACACTTATCTTTAAATTTCAGATAACTATCAGGAATGTATTCATAATGAAAAGTTTCTACACCCCAATAAGCCTCTCTGCCAACACAGCAATTCAAATTAGACCAAATCAAGCTGAGTTAAATTAGAAAAAGCCCATGTTTAATGGCTACAACACTCCCAGATGGCCTTCCAGCCCCCCAGAGAGGAGATGGGAAAGAGAGACCAGAAAACCAGTCTGTTTTCTGGGAGGCAGTTTAAATACCCTATGGGAATGGTCTTGAGCATCTCTGGGGGAGGGGTCATCATTTGGTGGGCTTTCTGAGACACAGCAGGGTTTGGAGAGAGATAGACGAGGGGGCTTGTGTGGAACTTCCACCATGACATCCCAGACTCATTGGGTAGATGGATGCCAGGGGCTGGGGTGAGGCTTCCATCATAACACATAATAATTGCCATACTCTATTGTACATATATGGTGCTATATTTTGAACTTTTATTTGCTAATTGTGTAACCATATTTGTGCCCAGCATCGTACTAAGCAAGTCACATGGGTCCTTTGATTGGCCAAATAAACATACATGTAAAAAACAAAATGTAGGCTAGAGAGATGACTCAGTCATTAAAAGCTTCTCATACCCACATGGTGGCTCACAACCATCTGTGATTCCAGTTAATCTGGTGCTTTTTTTCTGTACTCCACAGGCCCTGCACATAGTCAGTGCACAAACAAGGAGATGCACATAAAAACAAATGAATAAAAATACAAATAAATACATTTTAAATTCAAAAGATATGTCTAGACAGGTGTGTGGGAGGGGCTTCCTCAGAGTTCACAGAACTGGGGAGGGCAAACAATGCAGGCATTGTGCCTCAGAGCTCTGACCAACGGTGAGAATCCTTCCAGGGAGCCGAAAGAGGGCCCAGCCAGTAAACTGCCTGCTGTGCAAGCGTGAAGAAGATCTGAGTTCAGCTTCCCAGTACCCTCCTAAGAGCTAGGTCTGCTGGTGTGCCTATGTAACTCCAGTGCTAGAGTCATGGGCAGCAGAGACAGGGGTTCCCTGGAGTTCATTGGCCAACCATCCTATCCAAAGTGATGAGTTCCAGGTTCAGTGAGAGACCCTGTCTCAACAGACAAACAAGTAAAAAAATAAATAAAATGAAGAATGATGAAAGATTTTTAATAGGCTATCATATATATTGAGAGACTGTCTCAAAAATTAAATGAAGAATGATCAAAGGTTTTTTATTATGTATACATATAATGTCTACATGTACGCTTACACATCAGAAGAGGGCACCAGACCTCATTACAGATGGTTGTAAGCCACCATGCGGCTGCCGAGAATTGAACGGCCAGTGCTCTTAATCTCTGAACCATCTCTAGCTCCCCCCAAAGGAGGTATTTTTTATGTTCACCTTTGGCCTCATTCACTTGGCAGTACATGCAGAGACCTGCACACACATGTACATAGACCACACACACACACAGGCAGAAACCCATAAATGGAACCCTCCAGAGTTTTTTCACTTCTAGATGCATTTGTCTGACTGCTGGGATTGTGCGACTTTCCCATTTGTAACTATGGATTCAGTGTAATCTGACAACAACCATGTTGAGTTATAGCTGTCGTGATCACCCTTGAGTAATCCTGGTTGGTTTCCCACGAATAGTTTCTCAGCATACCATAAATAGCCAAATCCACAAGAGTGGTATGTAGGACTAGAAGACTGGACCCTGTTGCCAGGAATATGCCTGACTCTTTGATATTAGCCTGAGATAAACCAGGTACATTCCACTTTTGTCATGACTGCTGTACCAAGTTGTAAAGGTCGGTTGACCCAATTGTAGAGATCTACCTGCAGGTCATGTTTCTGCTGGTAAATCTCCAGGAAGTTAAACTCTATACAACTGTGGATCGGTCTGCCTCATACTCCTGCCACAGGGCACCTTTGGACAGCTCTCCAACCGTGGGACTGAGTTGCTTGAGGACAGTAGCACACCCAAGTCATTACCCCCTGACCTCAGGGATGAGCAGATGGTCCAGAGAACTAAATTTACTCTCCCTCTGGCACAGATTGGTTCATAATGATCATGTGACCTGTTTGAGCAAGTCCAAACCAGGCCAGTAACCATCCTGTCCAGGGATTTTTCTACCGAAGTGTGGTCACATCACTGTATAAATGACACCCAGTGAAGCCTACAGTCATGTTCTTCACCACGTAGAAAAGCCTGAGAAAATTAAACCATCACCCAGAAAGCCACAGAGAAAGTGCTGGAGTATGAAGAACCAGTCTGCCTCCATCTTAGGCTTAAAATCTGTCTTATAGTAAAGATACTCCAGGTTAATTCCTGTTTGTGATTAAACTTCTGTATACATGAAACCCATTACTTCCCTTCTGACACTAGATGTGTGGAGGCTTTCTCCCTATACATTGAGTAACCTCCTGCAGACACAAACTGGGTGTGTACTAGGTCTGATAGTTGAAACCTGGAGCTGCAGTAAGATCACATAGGGTAAGGGCTCAGTCTACAAGAATGCCTCCATAGTTCAGATGTCGATCACACAGTTATCCTATTCTAACCAAATGACTCTAAGGTTCTCAGGAGCCCCTCCTTGGGTTCTATGAATCTGCTAGGGTGGTTTATGAAATCCGGGGAAACATGTTTACTGGCTCATTATAAACAATATTGTAAAGGATATACATAAATAGGTAGATTGTGATGGAACACAGGGTAAGGTAAAGGGTTCCTTGAGAACCCTTTACGTCCCTGCCTGTAGTTAAGCAGTCAGAAGTGGGAACTCAGGGATTTTTATGGTAACTGCCTTATAATTGACTGTGGAAATCTCTTGGCCTCTAATCATGGCTTTCTCTTTGTGGTGTCCAGTCCATAGCCAGGAGCCTGCAGAAGGTTGCCTCACTGGAACATCTACACTCCTATTGCCCAGGAAAGACCAAGGAATTAAGAGATCTGTGTCAGGAAGGAGGGGAGGGTGTATGTCTAAACCCAAATCATGTGAGCTCAAAGGGGCTCCTGCAATGAAGAGTTCATTTTTATTTATTTTAGATTATTTTTATTTATTATGTATAGTTTTCTGACTGCATATATGCCTATACACCAGAGCAGGGCACCAGATCTCATTACAGATGGTTGTGAGCCACCATGTGAATGCTGGGAATTGAACTCAGGACCTCTAGAAGAGCAGTCAGTGTTCTTAACCTCTGAGCCATCTCTCCAGCCCCTCATTTTTTTATTTTTAAGATTTATTTTCATTCCTATTTATTTGTATGTCTATGCGAATACATGTCACATGTATTCAGGAGCCCATGGAGACCAGAAGAGGTTGGTTGATTCCCTAGATCTGGAGTTACAGGTGGTAGTGAGGCACCTGACCAGGATGCTGGGAACCAAACTTGGGTCCTCTGGAACAGCAGCAAGCACCGGTAAGCCCTGGGCCATCATCTAGTCCCTGTTTCCTTATAGGCTGTCCAGAGGAGGTTTCTTGGCAGCAGCTTCATTCTCAGGGATCTGGGTCGGCTTCTTAACGAACAGTCTTGGTGAAGGTGGGTGGTAGTTTGAATTAGAAACACCACCCCGCAACAGACTCCCATTTGAATGCTCCATCCCTCACTGGTGGCACAATCTTAGAGGGGCTTTGAAAGGGCTAGGAGGTGTGGTTTGGGTGGTGGGGGTAGATCATTTGTGCTGGGCCCCTGAAGGTCTCACCAACTTCTGTTTCCCGTCTGGTGCTCCCTGTTTCTGCCATCATGGATGTCCCCATGGCTTCCCTGCCATGCTGGACTGAGACCCTCTGAAACTATGAGACAAAACAGAGCTCCCTCCCTAAAGCAGTTTGTCACAGGACTCAAGAGTGAGCAATCCTGGTACAAGTCCATACTACCTGGTGAAATTAACAGACTGACACACTCTCTCAGTTATGTCCCCTCTTAGAACTTCTTTTGAGCTGGGCGGTGGTGGCACACGCCTTTAATCCCAGCACTTGGGAGGCAGAGGCAGGTAGATCTCTGTGAGTTTAAAGCCAGCCTGGTCTACAAAGAGAGTTCCAGGGCAGTCAGAACTGTTACACAGAGAAACCCTGTTCTGACAAAAATAAATAAATAGAAACTTCTTTTGAATTTTA